CGATAATATGGTGCACCCCTAGTTCCGATAATATGGTGCACCCCTAGTTTCGATAATATTGTGCACCCCTAGTTCCGATAATATGGTGCACCCCTAGTTTCGATAATATTGTGCACCCCTAGTTCCGATAATATGGTGCACCCCTAGTTTCGATAATATTGTGCACCCCTAGTTCCGATAATATGGTGCACCCCTAGTTTCGATAATATTGTGCACCCCTAGTTCCGATAATATGGTGCACCCCTAGTTTCGATAATATTGTGCACCCCTAGTTCCGATAATATGGTGCACCCCTAGTTTCGATAATATTGTGCACCCCTAGTTCCGATAATATGGTGCACCCCTAGTTTCGATAATATCGTGCACCCCTAGTTCCGATAATATCGTGCATCCCTAGTGTGCGCATGTGGCGTGTGTGTTTGTGTATGTTTACCTCGACACTCGGTTCTGGTGGCCGTGCTCTGGAATCCGGTGGGACACTGGCAGTAATAGGATCCAGGGGTGTTCACACACTCCCCGTTCACACAGGGGCTCCGCTCACACTCGTTCGCATCTAAACACACACACAACACGTGATCAAACGCTCACCGCAGACAACTTCCACACGTCTGATATCAGGCGACGCACTGACCGATGCATTCGCCGCGGCCGTTCAGCCGGTAGCCCATGTTGCACTCGCAGTGGTAGCTGCCTGGCGTCGGCACGCAGCGGCCGTTGATGCACAGGTTACGAAATGCCTCGCACATGTTCCTGATGCTGACGTTCTGAGACAGGATGACTGAGAGAGAGAGAGAGATGGGAAACCGTCAGGCTCAGAGTCTCAACACTGTGACACATGAATGGAGAAAAGTTGAGAAATTTGATAAACTAGCTGAGTTTGCTAACACTTTAACTAAAGTTTAAATCAAATCAGAAAATATAAAAATAAAAACTGATTCAAAATAATAATAAAAACTATAATAGTATCTCACTGATACTAAAATATCACTGATATGAGGAAGCCTCATTTTAAAAGATTTCTAGACATGAAACATCATGGAAATTATTCAGATCTTAAAATGCCATGGGAATTTTATTATGATTTTACAATTTTCTAGTCATGCCATGCTGTAAAATATCTTATCAAGTAGAAAAAAATATAGTGCCTTGCACATCTGGAATCATTCATATGTGCATTGGATAAAAATTCTGCAAGAAGTATGCAGGATTAATACATTTTTAGAGAGTAAACATATTTTTTTTAAGCCCTTATCAAAAAAAGTAATGAATTCAGTGGTTAAAAAGAGCAGGGACCCTGAAAAACATTCAGCTTCTGGAAACTTGTGGAATCCTAAAATCTTATTATCTTAATTTGAATTTAAATTCGATTTGTTTGAATCTATGAACACTCATAGTTTCTGTAAATTAAAAAAAAAAGTAAACAAAAAAACGTTGTCATTACAGCAGATGATCCAGAGGAAACATGTCAGCCTTTGAATATTATGGACGCCCTGGAGTCAAAGAGGTTGAGAATCACTGATCAAATGCAAAGCAAATGTGAAGCAAACAGGAAGCGACTGAAGTGTGTTCAACACACGCAGCTCTTTCATCAGATCTGCCTGGCATTTGGAACAGATGATTCTGACACAAAGCCAGTAAGAAGTTACTGAAGTGTTGTTGATATGAACACTTTCATATACCAATCCATTTGTAACACATTTACAAACTGACAGCAAGGAAGTAAACAGGAAGTGAGGCGTGTCTTTGCCCTTAACAGCCCTTCAGTACAGAGCGCGGAGGTGTTTGCTTGTGTGCATTACCAGGTCTGATGGTGAAGGAGGGAAGGTCAACAGATGTGGGCGGCAAAGGTATCGGATCACGAGGGTAAGGATCTCGTGGGTCATCGGGAAAACCCGGACCAGGACCAGGACCAGGACCAGGACGAGGACCAGGACCCGGAAGCGGAAGCGGAAGCGGACCTGGACCCGGAAGCGGAATCAGATCTGGTCGGTCTGGATCAGGAACCGTGTGACTATACAGACAGAGTCTCTGATACTCCTCTGAGTAGGGAGAGAGAGAGTATTATTCAGTTTCAGTTTGTTAGTTAGAGTGTTACAATGTTACAATTTCTGTACCACAATAATTAGGGCTGCAACAAATGATTATTTTGATAATCGATTAATCTAACGATTATTAGAATGCTTAATCGACCAATCTGTGATTATTTCACTGATTAATCAGTAGACTTTGATTGATTATTCAGCTTTTGCAATTAGTTAAAATATTGAGTTACACATATGTGACCCTGGAGCACAAAACCAATCATAAGGGTCATGACAAATGATTATTTTGATAATCGATTAATCTAACGATTATTAGAATGCTTAATCGACTAATCGGTGATTATTTCACTGATTAATCAGTAGACTTTTGATTGATTATTCAGCTTTTGCAATTAGTTAAAATATTGAGTTACACATATGTGACCCTGGAGCACAAAACCAATCATAAGGGTCATGAGATTTTAATAAATAAGCTTTCCATTGATGTGTGGTTTGTTAGGATCGGACAATATTTGGCTGAGATACAACTATTTGAAAATCTGGAATCTGAGGGTGCAAAAAAATTTTGTCTTTTAAATGTTGTCGTCTTAGCAATGCATATTACTAATCAAAAATTAAGTTTTGATATATTTACGGTAGGAAATTTACAAAATATCTTCATGGAACATGATCTTTACTTAATATCCTAATGATTTTTGGCATAAAAGAGAAATGTATAATTTTGACCCATACAATGTATTGTTGGCTATTGCTACAAATATACCCCAGCGACTTATTTTGCGTATGCTATTCTGTGTTATTGTTAAGTTCAACTACAGGCTTTTATGGTGCTTGTTCAAAATACTATTTCAATTGTTCAGCTGTTCTTAACTGTTTTCTATGTCATTTAAATAAAAGCCACGTAAAGCAGTTTGAACTGAACTGAGAGACGAGACTTGAGAGCGCCATGAATTCTCATTCTCACCTGTTCCGCGGATGGGACACATCTCTGGGACGCTGGATCCAGACCAGCATCCTCTGTTCTCACAGCAGCATTGGCTCTTGGACATACGCTGCGGCAGCAGATTAGCACAGCGCCCGCTCACGATGTTAGCGTAGCAGAAGCCTGTCCGAGCGTCTGGAGTGGAGCACACAAACACAGAACGCTACATGAGCTACCATCATCTGATGCAGTCACACAGTAAGTGCAACGAGGGTAATTGGGGTGGTTGCTACGGTGTTGCTATGCGGTTGCTAGGGTACCCGGGGTGGTTGCTAAGTTGTTGCTATGTGGCTGCTATGGTACTCAGGGTGGTTGCTAAGGTGTTGCTATGTTCACTCGTTCATAATCTCAAAATACTATTTGCAAATGAAAAACAATTAAAATACACAAGTGTGTTTGCACATTTCTCAATGTTTCTACATGTACAAACTGTTTCATATGATCATGTGTGCGTACTATGATTGGCTGGGTTAAAAACTCACATCTTATTGGCTAAAGAGAACATCTGTTTAAAAAACACTTGTGAATCGGGGAAACGTCCTTTAGTGATGCACAAACACACATCTACCCCGCTAACAGAGAACGTTCTCAGAACGTTCTGGAAAGGTTTTCTCAAAGTTATGATCAAACGTTAACAGAACGATCGTTCAGAGTTATCTGGCCTTTAATAATGTTCTCAAAGTGTTAGTACAAAAACATTATTTATACATTCATGGAATAATTTTTCCTGAAACATTTTAGTTGGACATTCATCTAATGTTTTTTAAATGTTGCAACTTGTTTCAGAATGTTCAGAGAACATTCAAAAGTAACGTTTCTTTAATATTTGTAAAATGATACAATGGAATGTTCCCTTAACATTCTCATAAAAAAAAATGTTTTTAAAATATTTTTAAAAACTATGTTTTGAATGTTCATAGAGCTTTCAGAAATAATGTTTTCACAACTTAGATCATGTTTTTGTTAGCTGGGTACATGCGTATGTCACCTCGCATTGGGTATGTGGCCACACACACACACACACACACACACGCACACACACGCACACGCACACACACACACACTCGCGGTGTGACGGCACAGTTTGTGTAATGACAGAGCATCTCCAGCTGCAGGAGTAACGTGAGCGAGCGAGCGGAGCGGAGCGCGATGATGGAGGAGAAGAAAGGGATGTTTGGCTCAGGAAACGTTTGGAGTGGCTCGAGTCATTGCGCACATTCCTTCCACACAAACACAGCCAACACACATCAGCTGAAGACCACTGACCCACTTACACACACACACACACACACACACACACACAGAGGACGGCCTCCTCTGAAGGCCTCACACACAAACACTTATTTTTACAGTTTCACGTAATTCATCAGCAACTGTACATGTTCTGCCAAAGTCAATTCAAGTCAAATGACATTCAAACCCGGTTTAAATAAAACACTTACTAACAAAGATGAAACAATTAATTTTTTTAGCTGCATGTCATGTGACCACTAACATCAGAGACCGTTAACATGCAAACGTGTTACTAACTTATTGAAATATTAACTTCGAGCCTTCAGAAATGAGAACGAGAATGAGAAAAACACGCAAGATATGGCTTTCTCATAGTGAACTGATGAGATGGTGTGAAGTGGGTGTTTCACTTCAGATCTGAATGTGAGTTTACAGTGGATTTCGAAGGATCTACTGCCCTCCTCCTTTAGGTTTTTATTACAACTGTAAATCTGAGCATTAAGAAAATGTGAATAGTTTCTCTGCAAACACACACGGAGGAAACACACACAGCAGGAAGCAGACAGGAGGAGAGGTTAATGAGTCAGACTGTGACAGTGAGAGTCGGTGGGACTCACCGATGCAGCGCGAGCCGTCCAGCGCCGTGTCGAAGCCCACCGGACACCTGCAGAAGTAGCTGCCGATGGTGTTGGAGCACTGACCTGCACTGCACAGGCCCGGGATCTGAGAGCACTCGTCAATGTCTGAGAGACACAAAACCCATCAGATCATCACGCTTAAACCAGCCGCTACAGTACACACCCCTTCACCATCAAACGCTGACCGTCTGAGAAAATCATACTAGTCCAAGCTATAGTGCAGCTACTTACCTGCACATCTTCTGAAGGACATGTGATGATCTTCTGGATAATGACTGCAGTAGTAATTGATATCTACACTACTTGGGGTCAGTAAGATTTCTGAAAGTTATCTCTTATGCTCAGCAATGGATGCTCTGCAGTGAATGGGTGCCGTCAGAATGAGAGTCCAAACAGCTGATAAAAACATCACAATAATCCACAGCACTCCAGTCCATCAGTTAACATCTGGAGAAGACAAAAGCTGAAACACATCCAGCATTAAGACGTTTTTAACTACAATACATTGAATCTATAATCAATAATAACACTTCCTCCAGTGTGCATCTGCTGTTGTCTCTCGCATCAAAATCCAGCCACATATTAGTTTAGAGCTGTTTAAACGCTGCTTGATCTGTGCAGATTTCTCTCCTGATTCACACCAGAAC